TAAGTAGTAAAATACTACTAAGTAGTATTTTATTAGGATAGAAAATACTCCTCTTGGGACATCATGTGAGAATGGCATTTATTTGCATCTTTGGTGCCAAGAACATTGAAAATGCAGCAGAGGTGAGAGGTATGAACATTTTCAGAATAAACTGAAGGCTTCTCTGTAAGTTATACAGAATACTACATAGTACTAGAGCTGGAGATGAAGCCCTCAGGCTGTTCTGTGAAAAATTAGACTACTCAAAAAGTTTTGGCATGGATGCTAAAGAAAAAGGGTTAAGAGAGACAAGATTTTTTTGGGACTGAAGATGGAGAAGAGATGGGATTCACTCCCAGTGAACTGAGGTTCACTGGAGTCAGTGGAGAAGAAGTTCTTTTGGTTTCACCGGACACTGAGCCTGGCTTCTGCAGAATTCATACAGACAGTCAGAATGACAGCCATAGATCATTCTGGCTCTTCTGGCTTGCCTTTACAATTAAAAAGAAACATAATCAGTAATTATTTACTGCAAGACACTTGTTGTGACACATTAGTTAATGATCCTCTTCTCCTAATTCTTCTAATCCTCATTTTTCTTGTGCTCTAGTTAAAAATTAAAGGCCTTAAACATAAATTCATCACTTTACACACAACAGTCCTGTATCCAGGGATTTGGTGGCATTTGAGGCATCAACAAAATATGTAAATTTGCAGCTACTTGCTGTTTATCCATCTGGTATTGATATCAGTGGAGCTGCACATAAGGTGATTCTTACTCCACATTATGGACCAGTCTCTTAACTGCACACGTTTTCCTTCATTAGTTATTTTCAGCAGCCAGCAAGTATACAAATAAATACACATACATTGTAATACTGTAACTTTCATATACAGAACATGTGCACAATACCCATCAGTGGACTTGGAAAATTTGTCTACTGCCAATAGGAAATGTCAGTGCTTATTAAGCTCATGGATGAAAAGAAATGCCAGGACCTCCTAATGTACAGGCTTCTGGGCCTGCTTATTAATGCAAACCCTCTAGAAAAATGTCTCATGACAATTTGACCTTTCCCAAACAATAACTCCTTATTCATGGTCAATTAGAAGTGTTGTCCTCATTAAAAAAAAAAAAAAAAAAGACCAACTAATTAGATACCTAAAGTTAAGTTGTTGAAATTGCAGTTGATTTTTTTCTGATAAGTCAAAACTATGTATTTTTCTCCCTCAGCAGGGAATCAACGTCTGCATGCTGCACTCTTTTACAAAGATTTAATATAACATGGGCCCAGGAAATGGCCTCTTAATTTAGTGCTTACACATCTTTGCCAACAGCAGTTTTAATTTAAATATAAAACTCTAAGTACAATACTGTCCTGCCTTGTCCATGTGATACAAAAAAAATATCTAGAGAGTTTAGTGAACATCTTTGTAGGAGGATAAGTGGTGGCTGAGAGTTAGAGTTGTGGGTTTTATTGCCTGACAACAGTTTTTAATTCCATGACATTGTTTAACCCTCAGTATGGTTATTCTGGGGGAATATTTGAATTCAGCAACTTATTTTGTGTTCCCTGTGGGTTTCCTACACCTGAATGATAGTGTTGTAGACCAAATTTTATGTTGAAATTAAATATGCTGAGATTGTCTAAATCTTCAGAGCTTTTACTTCTAGAGGTGTCATTTAATAATTGCCTTCTGCTGTAAAAAAATCTCATCTACAAGGCAAACTGGTGAAGTTTTACAAATAATTGCTTTATGTTGAACAATTTAAGTGTATTTTATGTTCCATTGCAGAATTATATATATATATATATATATATATATATATGCATTTAAAATTCATAGAAGACTTTGGACTGGAGGGGACCTTTAAAGGCACTCTAGTCCAACCCCTTTACAATAAGCAGGGATGTCTTCAAGTAGATCATTTTCCTCACAGCCCCATCCAACCTGACCTTCAGTGTTTCTAGGAATGCAGCATCCACCACTTCTCTGGGCAATGTGTTCCAGTGTTTCACCACCTTCATCATAAAAGAAGTCTTCCTTATATATAGTCTGAAAACCAATATATATGTATTGATGTTATATTTAAAAGCAACATTTAAATTGCAAAGGGGTTTTGTGAGTTTTTTTGTTTTGTTTTGTTTTTTTAAGTGACCAGCAGGTCAAAGGAGATGATTCTCCTCTGAATTCTACTCTTGTGACACTGCCCCCCGAGTTCTGCGTTCAGCTCTGGGCCTCCCCAATATAAGAAGGATGTGGACCTGCTGGAACTGGTCCAGAGGAGGGCCATGAGGATGCTCACAGGGCAGGAGCATCTCTCTTATGAAGACAGGCTGAGAGAGCTGGGGTTGTTCAGTCTAGAGAAGAGAAGGCTCCAGAAAGACCTTATAGGAGCCTTCCCGTACATAAAGGGGGCCTACAAGAAAGTTGGAGAGGGATCTTTTACAAGGGCATGTATTGATAAGACAAGGGGAAATGTCTTAAACTGAAGAAGTTTGGATTTAGATTAAATATTAGGAAGAAATTCTTTACAGTGAGGGTGGTGAGGCACTAGAACATGTTGCCCAGAGAAGTTACAGATGCTTCATCTCTGGGACTGATCAAGACCAGGCTAGATGGTGTTCTGAGCAAGCTGGTGTAGTGGAAACTGTCCCATCAAAACTAGGTCATCTTTTAAGATCCCTTCCAACTCAAACCAATCTATGACTCTATGAAATGTCTAGGTCGTCTTTGCTTTGCCCACGGTTTTTAACTTCTTAGGATTGAATTTTATCAAAATCTCGTGTAGACAGATGAAAAGCTTAGTAAAACCAGCTGCAAGTCATTTTACTGTTGATTTTAACATATTGCTCATGTAGGCAAGTCCCAGCAGTAACATGACACCAGTTAGACAAAGCACATCCAACAGAACAAGTCAGCTATCCCTGGGTTTGGGACTGGTGCTGTGCTACAGTAAATGCTCAGCAGCTTTTTAGGTGAGCCCATTCATTTTCACACTGCAAGGGGCTGACATGACCTCTGTGGTCAGTCACCATCTGTCTCTCTCAGCTGGAGACACAGTGACTGATAAGAATTGGCAGCTTATGAAAACAGCTGATACATGCACAGAGATCATCTTGGTATGCCCTCAAGGCCTTTTAAGTTACTTTGCTTGCAATAAGAGGATGCCAGAAGACCTAGTTTATGTATAGACCGTATGTATGTATATATACACACAGCTGTATGCCAAATGTGCAACATATATAGATGGTTATTTTACTTCAAACCTGCTGCAATTTTAAAGCAATTTCAGTACTTCTTTCTCCTGCAGTTATCTTTCCAAAATACAATCTGCCTAACAAATGTCATCAGAATCACGTCCTCAAGTGTATGCCTTCATGCTCAGAGAAGGTTGGTCTGTGGAGCTGCCGGCTCATCCCATCAGTAGATCATCCTGCATTAATGCCCCACGCACTAATGCTAAGAAAGCTGTTCTGAGGTCTCTTAACTGATAAGTGACTCCTTATCAGCGTAGCAAGTAATAGCAAGAGCTTTGTAAACAGAGAACATCACTAGGCTTTGCCCTTCTAATCTGTCTGTATCCTTGATCACACAAGAAGCATGAGGATATCACAAGAGAAAAGCATCTCAAGTCCTTAATGAAATATTAGGGAATTAATTTCGAAGCATGGAAACAAAAAGGGGTACAAAGAACATCCATGGGCAACTCCTTTGCCCTGGCCAGGACAGTTGCCACCTCCTTCAGTCAAGGATATTCCCAATGCAAAAGTTTGCTCTCCTTTCATATTTTTATTGGCCACTGGGAGGAAAGTGGTGTGTAGGGAATGGAAAAGTTCGTCAACTGGAGAAAAACTTCTTTCCTAACAGCTGATAAGTGATTTTGCCTGCAAGGGGCTGGTAAAACTTCCATGCAGAGAGTGGCATGTCCCTGGAAAAGGACAAAGTAGATATCAGTTGCTTGGAGGCCATCATTTCCTGTGAAAGCCTTGTGGTCAGGCAAACCGAATTCAGAGTTGTATTTATGACACTTCAGATTTGGATTTCAACTACAGCTATCACATATCCTAGATCCGCGCCAAGCCCCGATGGGGACCTCATAAAATTTCTGCTTCAGGTGCAGCAGATGATTTCTTAAGTTTTTAATTGTTTCAAGTGGTGCTGCTGGGTAAAACAACGCAGCTTTCATCTGAGGGGGCTGTACTATTTTTTGTAACCACAATTTATGATTACTGGCAAGTAATAGCTTTAACTTCTCACAGAGGGGAACAGAATGGCTCCAGCATACAAGTGATCCGAGCAGACATTGCAAAGCTGCGATCTACTCTTTCAGACAATATAAACTGACAGTGTGATTATATGCTTTCAGAACAAGGATGTGCTTTAGAGGCCCAGGAAATACTTACCAAGGGTAACTATTAAACACAGAACCCCCAGAAATCACATCACTCAAACATGTGTATGACATCTTTTTTTCCAGTAACTCCTTGGTGACGGAACATTTTCATGTTTAGATAGTACTAAAGCTTGTTTTTTAAAAAATGTTTCTGTGGAAATACTATATAAGTTTTTTTTTTCCACGCTCAATGTTTTTTATGCTTGCTTTTCAACACGGCTGTTTGTTTCTACCCTGTTTTTCTGCAGCAATTAAGATCATGGAAGAACCAGAATCATCAGGCGATGATGTTTTTGTTACAGCCAGCACTGATGAAACGTTGCCTTTCTTTATCGGTCCAAGTGATCTCTCTACCATGCAGCCTGAAGGCGTTATTACAGATGTGCTTTCATCAGACCAAACAGCACCACTACCTGCAGCAACCAGCCCATCCTACAGCCCCTCTGAGATCATCGAACAGTCCCTCGAGTTACCAGATTCCTCAGCGCCTACCCCTGGGAGCGCTCCTCCCGATGGCACCGGGCTGGGAGTGCAGGATATCGCTGCTGAATTGGATCAGATCGGTGGGCTGAGCACAGCAGCTCTGGATGAAGGGGAGCACGGCAGCGGTTACATCCCAGTGCTGACAACTAAGCCTGCAGAAACCACCCCAGCTCCTACGCTGAAGTATGTAACTACCAGCTCCATGACAACTGCAGGCAAAGGCAAAGAGCTAGTGGTTTTCTTCAGCCTGAGGGTAACCAACATGCACTTTTCTGATGACCTCTTCAATAGGAGTTCGACAGAATACAAAGCACTAGAACAACAGTTCATGCAATTGGTGGGTGAAAATCAACTTGAACAACATTTGTGGCAGTTGGGTGCGGTTGAAAGGAATACATCAAATTGCACAGTATTTTAACAATATCAGACCCTACTATGGTCGGTCTGATAAAAGCTCCATTTTTAAAGGATCCATAAACCTCACACAGTATGGAGACAGAATTTATGAAACCAGTGATGAAAGTTTTTACTTGTTCAAGAGACTTCAGACATATGCCTGACCTGTAATTTATTTGGTTTTTTCTTACATTCACATCAACAGTATAGCAGTGCTGATTACATCTAAGGCTTGTGTCTGCTTGCTGGATTTTAAAAATAGGCCTTTAAAAATATATCATAGCTTAGCAGGGAGACTATGATTAGGTATGGATTTTCTCTACGGTACAACAGGGCAGCAGGGCAGCTCAGTAACATGCCTATTATGCTATGCCCCAACCTGCCTGGATTCAATGTTTGAAAATAATTAAAGTTGGCTTTTGAGTGAGGTAATTTTTTTCTCTTCCAGATGAATAAACTCCCCAGCTGCTATGCATTTCATTACAGGGGAAATTGCTGCCCATCTATCTCAATCTATTATTGAGAAAGATGCAGAAATCCAGAAGAAGATAGTGCTAAGTGGAGAAGTTAATTTGTTCGTGGAGTTCAACAATTGTATTAAATTCAGGGAAATAAGTGTGTGATGTGTGTACTTGATAATGGAAAGTGACTATAAGAGCAATTCACAGCAGGTAGACACTGACAGGAAGTTAAAATAAAGGCAAATTTCTGTTTTGCAGCTACTTCCATACCTTCAATCCAACCTTACAGGTTTTAAGCACTTGGAAATACTTAACTTCAGGAATGGAAGTGTGATTGTGAACAGCAAAATGAAGTTTGCCAGGACAGTGCCATACAATATCACAGAAGCAGTACACTGTGTTTTGGAAGACTTCTGTGATGCTGCAGCCCAACACCTCAATTTGGAGATTGACAGCTATTCCTTGGATATTGAGCCAGGTAAGTTTGTATTACTAATGTATGTGCTAAGTCAGAACCAAGCAGATAATCTTTTTCAGATTGTTACAGCTCCAGAAGTATGACTGTTTCAGAAATAACCATATTATCAACAGCCTCCCAGTCATTTGGAATTATAAGAAAAACCAAGATGTTGCAAATTATCTGCAGACATATTTTCATATTATAATGAAAAGCTGGGTGGAGCTGTTGGTCTGTGCATGTTCACTGACTGCTTTTCAGAGCCAAATATAGTGACTCTCTAGAATAAAGGGCTGGGTGAACACAGGTATAAGAAATGCTCGTGTGCATTTTACAGGCATGACATGCAAATCTTGCACCTGAGTATATAAACATAATTTCTAATTATTATTGCAAAATTTTAAGCAAATCATAGCTTAGAGCATCATTAAACCTTTTTTAAAGGGCTAAAGAGTTAACGACAGAGGGAGAAAAATTCTATAAATAATTGGTTTCTACAGATACTCACTAATCAGAGCATGACTATATGTAACACTCCATAGATCTGTAATTCCAGAATCCCTCTTAATTTAATAGCTTTCAGATAAGTCTCTAGTAGAGAGTCAGTAAGCACACATCTGGACACTATTGTTATATCAGAAGGTTAATGTTTTCAAAAACTATATTGCTTTATAAAAATTGAACCTGAATCTACCTTCAGGTTCAGGTAACCATTTCAGGGCTGAATTTAATTTCACTGTCACGGAGAAAAATGATATCAGTATCTGAGTATGCATATGCCTTTAGACATTTTGGTTAAGCTGTCTCTTTATGTGCAGATCTCTGACAATTCCAAAAGAAAAGTCCATTTACAATTCATGCAGGCAGTTTCTAACCAGTTTTCATTTTATGTATCTCCTTGTGGCCACTAAAAGCACAGATAGTTTATGGTCAAGAAAGTTAACAAAATCACAGTATTCCAACCTTCAGATATTGTCATAATAAACTGATGTTTTGATGAAAAAATATTAATTAATGATAAAAAGTTAACTTTGGGCTACTACACATTCCCTGCTTTAGTAGTAAATTTTCATTCAATAAAAATTAAAATTAAAAAGTTCCTAAAATGCAAACACATAAAAATTTAAAAATCTTTAATTTTCATCCATATTGGCTGCTTTGCTGATGTGGTATTTCAAACTATTACTATGAATTTACTGAGAGAGCTGTTCTTTCTAGGCTTCTGAGCAGTTGTAAAATGTCAAAATAGAAGAATTTGTGTTTAAAAAGCCAATATATTCCCATACAGGTATTTCAAAGCCCTGTGTTTTTATTTCAGAAAACAAAGAAACACACACACACAAAACCTGTTTAGTAAACTGAGGTAATACAAGCAAATTCCTATTTATTTTGAAAGTAAGAGCCATCTAGTGGTAACAATGTTCTATCAAATTCAAAGGCTGATGGGGACTGACAGTCCAAAATATAGATCAAGATTCAGCAGATGCAAAAGGATGACTACATTGGTCATAAATAATACCATGAAGAAGAACTTTTAAAAACACCTGCACATGGTATTTCTGTAATTTAAACAAACTGAAAACACAAAGCATAACAAAGCATGACAGGTATGTACTAAGGAAAATGAAATGTTATGACAAAGAAAATAACCCTCTAACCCAGCAAAGTGCTCATGCCAAGCTCGGCTTGTTTTTAAGAGTTTACATGTACACACACTCACAGTCCAGGAGCAAAGTACATATCAAATCAACACGAGCATTGTATATAGCAAGGGGAAACTGTACATGCTAGAACTGACTACTCTAAAATTCAAAACAGGAACTAGCCATAGAATTAAAGAGGGGTTAAAAGTGAACATCTATGATGAATTCATTTCTACCACTGAAGCATATTCCAGTGTGTGTCTGAGATTTCCAGTACTACTAAAAAAATTCAATGCTCATTTTTCATTAAAATTATTATTACTGAGCATCTAGTGCAGAACATGAAGTGGTTGCAGAATTCTCATCCCAGTTAGTACCTACAAGTAGTAGGTGCAGTATCCAAATCTTCTTTTTAAAATACGTAACTATTAAGGGTTACATAGCCCAGCTCATACCTGTATACCTGCTCTCACTTCCTTCTCTGAATTATCCTTTCCCAGTTTTCTACATCTTTTTTTTTTCTCTTTCTGGATCCACATATCTTACTAAAACTGTTTGTTGGCAAGTATGAATTTGTATTCTCTGGTCTGCTTCTCATCTTTTGCCTTCTAAGGGTTTTTATCCCATAGTATGCAGGAAACAGGCTCCAGGAGACAAGACAGGCGGATGCAGACCCCCTCTTCATCACCCCACCAGCACAAGTTGGGCTGAGCACTGGGTTAAAATTACTCCTTCTGGGTCTTTTTTTTTTTTTTTTTTTTGCATTTCTAGTAAGAAGCAGAGAATAGAAAGGAAAAGTAGACTTGTGTTACAGCTGGAGTTAGGACTTTAAGCTGTCTCTGATTTAGGCTTTCCCATGAATATCAGCAGGCTCCTTTTCACTTAATCTCCAAGAGGCATCCCTTACTAATATTTAAAAAACAAAACAAATAAAAAAAAGAACAAGGCCTGCAAGCACATATTTTCTTTAGACCATGACAATATTTCTGGGTTGCAGATCTTAGTACTGTGTAATATTCAATAACCTAATTCCCTCCCTCTATCTTGTCCTAAATTATGTGTTGAGGATCATTACAGCTTGTCATGGTTTGATTCGGCCACTGCCTCTCTGGGCAGTCATTGCCTGCATTCTCCACCAAAAATGTCAGGTCTCTTTTGTCTGCATAAACCTTCTCTCAACTTAGAGCAATTGTGTGGGGGTGAGAAAAAATTAGCCCAGAGCAAACCCATGACACAGCTGAAACTATTTCTCACACATAAGCAAGGTTATAGCACAGCATCCATGAGTATAAAACTAGCACTTACAGTAAAAACAGGATAAAAATATACACATGTGAAAATCCTTTTCAGTGACATGAAAATGACAGCTTAACAGTGATGGGGTAAATAAATGCAGAAGTCAATATAAACTTGCATGCTTGCTGTGTCATCTACAGGAAGAAGGATGTGTGTCCTTTTATGCTAGACTCCATCCTCCTATTAACGTGCCTAAAGGTCAAGGCCAGTAAATGTGAATTGTTTTCCCTACAAAAATAGCCACAAAGCCTGCCAAGTCACTTTGCGGTAATGCTTCAATTAATGATTCACCCGTCCTTTTTACAGCTGATCAGGCAGACCCATGCAAATTCATGGCATGTGACAAGTTTTCCGAATGCATAATGAATGAGTGGACAAAGGAGGCTGACTGCCTTTGTAAACCCGGTTACACCAGTCAAGACGGACTGCCCTGCCGGAGCCTGTGCGAGCTGGAGCCGCATCTTTGTGTCAACGGTGGGAAATGTGAGTTAGTCCCAGGAAGAGGAGCTGTCTGCAGGTAAATAGATGGTGATCAACATGAATTCTCTTAACACCCTCCTTATAAGGTCCATCACATGATCAAGTAGGGGTGAGGATATACTTTTCAACAGTACAAACTAGGCTAATAAGCCAAAATCTCAAAACATTCAGATGCCTAAAGTTACACTGCAGTATCTTTCTAAATAGTCTCACCACAGTAAAATCCATTTCAGCCTGTTAGGACACACAGAACACCAAGACCTAGTTACTTTTTAGAAAAGTTACTTTTTTGGAAATTTATTAGAAATTCAGCATCATTGGCAGAGATGACTCAAACAAAGCCACGCATTCTTTTAAGATTTCCAAATACATATGGGAAAAGTGGAGTAGCATATTCATGGTTCGGCTACTGATTACACAGTAGTATTTTAAGAAATTACATTTTCCTAAGATGTACTAAAAAGGAAATCTATATTCATATAAACACACCTATGAGGACTACTCTGATTCCAGACCACCCAATAAAGTACATTAAGGTTGAGGCTGCTATCAGGGCTTTCTGGGAAAGACAAAGATTAGCAGCTCCTCCTAACTGCAAATATATTCTGTAATAATTTTCACACAAAATTATCTTAAGTCAATACAGAGTACTTGAACATAATAATTCTCTTTTTAAAGGATCAAGTTTCTTCTCATTTTAAGACGAGACAATCCAGAGCATTATGTGAAACTGTATATTCGACAGCCACACAGTAGCTGACCAGCAACGTGTATCGGCAAAAAACAAGTTAAAATTCTTACGTTTATTCTCTCTTTATGTTGACTTGACTAGGTTAATGATAGGTCTTTTAGCTTAGTTAGGATTAATGTCAAAAAATAAGACCATCAAGCAAATTATTCATATGATAATTTCACTGTAACAACAATAGTGCCATAATCCATTTTCTTCAGTGGCCATCACAGAATAATAGAAGATTATATTGAATTCACCACAGTTACTGCCAAATTCCTGACTTGCAGAGTCACAGTAGGGTAGCTGAAGTATTTTGTACTAGAAATCGTCCTGTGAGCTTCAAAGGTCCTCTTCAAACTTTACTTAGGTAGCAAGGGGTACAGCCTACTCCTCCAAGACTGATGCACTCAGAAAAATAAAACTTTTTCCTTTTAGAAAAGCCCTGACTTGATGTACAGTAGTAACCAAACCATCATGCGGAATTATAAAAGGACTAAGAATAATGAGCAAAAATTTTAGTGAATTATAGCAAGTTACAAACTTACCCCCGGTCAAATCCTGACAGCATGTGCAAGCTCGTACAGTGAGAGAGAAAATTACAGTCTACTATTTGCCCTTGTTTTGCGGGTGAATTCACTCAACAACATGTTAGTTTTTCCACTAACTAGAAACCTTGTGTTCTCACATAAATATGGCAATCTTCTCCCTTGCTTTAAAGGGAGCTATTTACAGAATCACAGATTCATTAAGGTTGGAAAAAACCTCCAAGATCATTAAGTCCAACCTTTGAATGAACGCAACTGCATCAACTAAACCATAGCAGTGAGCGCCACATCAAGTTGTTTCTTGAACACTTCCAGGGATGGTGACTTCCCTTAAAACACACCTCAACTTCTCAGGTTCTAAACCTCAAATGTTATTTCAATTTCACCTGTGGGGTTAGAAACCTGTCAGAGATGTTTAAAATGCACAATTTCCCTAAAATTTGTGGATTGACAAAAAATGTATCAGTGTCTTTTTAACACTCACTCTCATGAATGTAAGAATATTTTCTTTCCCTTATTATCAATCACATTATTTTCATGCAGACACATAGCAACTAGTTGTAGTGGAAATAATGTGCTCATAATTAATGGCAGATTTTGTTTTCATTTTTTGTCTTCCTCTCCTTATTGTAGATGCCCCGTACGTAGACAACAACTTTACCAAGGACAGCGCTGTGCCAAATTTGCTCCAGAACCCACACAACCCTTCACTTTTAAACCTCTTGTTCTTGGCTTAGTAAGCCTTGCTTTTCTTTTCATCATTTTAATTATTAAGTTGAGAAGAAAATGCAAAAGAAACTCTAATTTGCAGTAAGCTGCTCACAATCTTTTTCTTGAAATTTCAAAATATTCCTTTTGTTTCTTTTGCAATTTAAAATCTTACCTAAACAATGTTCTGCATTGTAGAAGGCCTGCTCTCAGCAGCTGCAATTCAGAAAATGCTGTAAGGATTAATCCTGCTTTTGAACACGATGAACCCATATCTAGCTTTTGTCACACGGCTTGCAGTGTAAGTGCTTGTCTCGGTTCCTCAGAGATCACTGATCACGAAGCATTACGCGAGCTTGAAAACACAATTCAGCCTGGAGGTAAAATGCACGAAAATCCTTCTCTTACCCCTCAGCAAACAGCCCTACCTGAAATAACAGGTCCATCTTCAAGTATTAACTCCACAACTAAATCAAACTTGAATCTATTCTCTTGCTTGACAACTTCAGAACTGAAAATACTAACATATTCATTGCTTTCCACATTTACTGCTGTGTAGGTTTCATAACAGGACTATAGAACTGCTTTTTCTTACAGCTCTCTTGCATGGCTCTGGTGGTCCACCCTTTCTGAGTGCTTTTTGTGATTTAGTGAAATAATTAGTGGTTTGACATTTTGATTTTTTTCTTACTCTTGTAGGTCACCAGACCAGTTTACAAAGCCAAGACTGACAAGTTAGTCCTTGAAATTCTTCGTTTCCAGCATCAGCCAGACAAAAACAAGGTTTGTGGAACTTTAAAACTTTGTTGTTTCCCATATGTCGGTATTACCAGGAAGCCTCTTTGTAGTCATTCCTTACAAAGAAAAACTCAGACTTTTGGGATGCTTGATATGACAACAACAATTTCTTCGTAAGTGTTTTTATGCAACAAAGTTAAATTCTTTATAACCATGTGCTAATGTGGCAGTCACTGGAACACATGAAGGAAGAGGGAATTTCTAAAATGACAAAGTAACACAAAATGTAAACCAAATGGGAGGTATAAAAAGCAATATAAAATTTTTAAAAATTAAAGATTATATAAAAATAACTTGAGCCAGGTTAAGCTACATACAGTTTGAACAAGTAGGCATTCTAATTTGAGCAGCATACTGCTCACATCTCAAATATTATTTCAAGTTGAAACCTCTTGTATCGTTGGAGGGGGGAATTGACAAAAGCTGAGTCCAAAATTTCTCTAACATTGCCAGATCGTTTCTTACTTCTGACGTATCTGAGTATGCCCTCTTGAGAGATAGAAAAAAAAATCTTTACTTTGCTGTTTTCATTTTTCTGAATCCCAGTCCAGTTAGGAACCAAAAGGTTTTGCTATAGGTGTTAGTACCCATTGTTATTGTGGGGAGCATCAGTACAGGACTGCCCTGGCATTAGCTGAACACTGTGGGAGACAGGACACTAACTGCATGAATCTTTGGCTCATTACATATTTATTGGTACGTAAATAAAGGAACAAGCTATAACACTATATAGAAAGATTGTTTTCACTGATCTTCATCATATGCAGGTCACAGTTACAGACTGAGGTAAAAACGGTGGGACTGGAATGCAGAGATAAAAAATAGACAAAACAGCAGGCAGCAGCACTTTGCAAAAGCTCAAGAATGAACTGGTTTCACTGCTTAAAAAAAACACAAGCACGGAAGTTGGCAAATAGTGTTTTATAACCATCTTAAACAAAATGTGCCTGTGGGTAATTGAGACAAATAAACTTTCATACTAGCTAAACTGCTTAAAATTACTGCATAGAAAAGCACTAAATATTTTACTGAAGTAATAAAATGGCACATCTGTGAAAGAAAACCGGACCTGTGTCATCAAAACTACTTGAATTGTAAAATGTATACAGATGAAGCTCTTCTCAAGATCTAGTTAAACAAATTAATTTAGTGGGAAGTCAGGCAACCAGAAAATTAAAATAGGTTCAAGAAATTAGGAGGCTACTGTTATTTACATTCACAAGGAGTGTTTACATTACCCTTATGTTCAACACATTTTTAATGATTTGAAAAAGGTCAATGGAGGGAAAAAAAATTATGAAGAATAGCTTTCATGAGCTGAAACTCAGAGGACCACTTTGATATCACAATCTAAAAAACTCCTTTGGGATTAGAATCTTAAAGAATATGCCACTTTTGAATATGAATTTTCAGGAGGACATGGATCTCTAGAACTTGTAAGCCAAACTGAGAATTCCAGTAATTAAATTCTGGTTTGCAATACATAATGAAAGCAGTGACAGTTTTTTATGACATATTATTTACCATAAATACAGCTCTGTATTTAGGAAGGCATGTTTGAAAATAGGCATAAAGTTCCAGCAGAAGCTAAAATAACCTTCCATTCCTTCCTAAACATAAAAAATGTCTACAGTTTATTTACAGAATCACTACATGGAAAATTATTGCAAAGCTAAGTTATAAGAGGAGGCTTTGGTTGGGTGGGTTTTTGCCCAATTAGTAAATAGTCTAAAAACTAATAATCTTTAACACTTCCAGGGATGGCGCATTCCCAAGTTCTCTGGACAGTCTTTTCCAGTGCCTTGCCACCCTCACAGGAAATAATGTCTTTATATATAATCTAAACCTACTGTCTTTCAGTTTGAAGCCTTTCCTCCCTTGTCCTGTCACTATGTGCCCTTGGAAAAAGTTCTGCCTGTCTTACTTGTAGGCCCCCTTTAGGTACAGGGAGGCCACTAAAAGGTCTCCCTGGAGCCTTCTCTTCTCCAGGCTCAATTGCCCTTACAATGAACTAGACATTATCTCAACAGGTTTTAGTGTGACCTTCCCTATTAGCACTAGATAAATTTTTCAAATTCAACAATGTTCTTCAAATGTCTTACAAGGCTTTCTCTTACAGGTATTCAAAAAACAAGATCTGCATTATTTAAGACTGGACTTCAGGATGATTATGCACGTGAAAAAAACCTCAAGGATTCCTAAAGATATAATGTTTGTACACATTTTAAAAATTGTTTTACTGAAGGAAAGAAACATGACCAAGTTGAGCACCTATTTGACAGCATCCAAAATTTGCCTGGTAGGAATTCATAATTGTTAAAATGCACGCATTAAGCATCCAGTGCTTACAGGTCTTAACTGTTACACTTAAGAGCCGAGTGCTAGAGACAGATTTTGCTGAGACATGACATTTTTCAATATTTGTCAATGGAACTTCACCATATTTCCATATCCTTTTATTAACCTTCCTTGCACACACTAACATAAGTGGTGAACAGAAATATGAGCTGTCATTGACCAAAGGACATATTAAAAGCCACTGGGAACTTCTTTCTCTCCCTACAAGGCTCATGTTGCAAATCACACAGAAGGTGGAATTAATTTTTTAAGGGTTTCTATGAACATTGTTTATACATATGTACATATAAACTTAACTGCTTAATTTCTGGTGACAGTGAAACTATCAGGTTATCCTAAGACTTCAAACTTTTTCCTGAGGCACAATACCTGTAGTTTCATCTTTTCAGAACAAGGTATTTACATTCACAAGCACCCTTCTGGTAGTAAGTAGATTAGAACTGCACATGACTGTGTACACTTTAAATTCAGCATGCACACAAATAATTTTAAGAGGTTACTATTAGTTTTTGTAGAAGAAATCTACGCAGACATCGGGCAGCCATTAAGTATTTTGTAGGCTTCTTAATTTATGCACTATGAATCCACAATCCTGATCCAAGTATGAGCATTATTTTACATTGAGCATGTTTTTCTTGAGTATATCTATATTTATATCCTGCACCAGTGTTGTACAATATTCAGGCACTGTTTGCCGCTTGGTGCACACCAGAAGTCGTACTTACAGCTCAAACTGAGCTTCTACAAAGTTCATGACTATTCTGGATGACAGGTCCTCATTCAGATGTGAAACTTTTGTGTATTTGGGACAGCAGCTGACTTCAGCAACAATTCTTCTCTCTTCGTACCGTGCAGTTACCACAGCAAAGACTGAACTTTAATTTACCTTATTATGTACACTCAGAAGAACTGTTTACGAATTCCAAACAACTAACTGCACGGATTTGCCTGCAAAACCACCGAAACTGGTGATAGTGTACGAATGAAGGCAAAGCACCAAGAATACAAGGTTGAGTTTCTACAGATGAAATAGGACTTTTACTTTATTTAACTAGAACAAAAAATAAAGAAGAAACCTAAAGATGTGGTTTTACCCAGTAACACTTCAGAATAAAACTACTTTAAAAATATTTCTTGCAGGGCACTGGAAGTCATCCCTGCCAACAAACGTTAGCTTTTCACTATTGCTCATGTAAGCTAAGAATACATTAAGAATGCTGATAGCATTCCATTTTTTTTCCATTACAAATGTATTTTTGTATGTGTTTAGTATATTTCAAGTCATATTAGTTATCACTAGCCTGATTATAAAGTAAGTAGTTTTAAAATGTGGATTTTAATAATGATTATTCATGATTGTATTTATCACTCTCAACTATTAATTACCAAATATATTTGCTGGACTTAAGCCTTTTGTATTTAAATAAAACATAATAAAACTATTTACTTGAAAATTTCAATGGGAACTGAACCAGTACTTAATCTCAAACTAAAACACATCACATTACCTTAAAACTGATGTAAAGTTACAGCTGGAGATAAAAGCCATAAGGAAAGTGAAACAAACGTCTGAATTACTTCAATCTTTTTGTGTTAAAAAACGACCACTCCAATCTGGCCCTTAGGACAAGAAAGTTTTCTAAGACTCTTTTTAAGGGGAAAACAAACAAACGAGCAAAACCCACAAAACATCTCCATCCAAGACATAAAGCTTCCCCTGCAGAATACAAACTCAAAGCAGCAGAATTGGTTTCATAGTCACTGACTGTCATGAAAAATGAAAAATATGCAAAGAGTGCACAGCATAGCAAATGATAGATACACTGGAAGTGATAGCAATAAATGTTAAAAAATTAGTAATAAAAGTAAAGATATTTGTTTTAATAAATACTGAGAAATTAAGGATGATACTTAAAAAGTAAAAAAATCAGAATTTTTTTTTTAATATCCGAATGTTATTTTGGAGAAACACTTACCTTAGAAAGTAGAGACAAAACCTTCACTAGAGTAAAACTTTATTTAAAGTAAGCATCAAAAACATCTGATAAAAAAGCAGCAGGGAGTTCCAGCACAGAAATCCTTTTACCCTTCTCATAACTTTATTACCCTTACTTATTATGCTTTAAATCTTCAAAGACAAAATGGTAAGAAGATACAAGTGAGATTTCAACATGGAATGTGTTTATTTTTTATTTTTAATTTTCAGTACAGTATTAGGTCATTTAAATACTATAAATAAAATTTTTTGAGAAAAACCCAAAGGATTAAACTAAGTTAAGAAAAACAATCTTCTCAGTGGATGACAGATAAGTATTTAATGACCTTATGATCTTCAAAGTAGGATTCTCAAGAAAATGGATATTTCCGGGTCACTTAGTCAGGAATGAAGCCTATTGTGGTGATTCTCTTCCTCTCCTTTGTTTTGTGGACTGTTTCAGGCAGATCTCAACTATAACAAACAGGTTCACTGATAGGCAGGAAGAATTTTTTTTTTTTTTTAAATCAAACACAGAGAGAACCAAGCCCATGTGCTTTAAAACTAAATTATTTTTTTCTCTATAAACGTAGATCAGAAGGGCATTAGGTCATACTACAGTCGAACTCCCTCTCCTCTCCTTTTTTATTTCCTCTCCAAATCAACCAACTGTATAATTATCTGACATGGTAGATGGGACCACGTATACTTTGTAAGCAACTGAATATGGCTTGACATGTAAAAAAAATAAAATAGTCTAAAACTAACTGAAAATTAATTTTGTTGCACAAGAAGATCAGTAAAACTAAGAGCAGATGCTGCTTTTGGTGCAGAGAAAGAAAAAGAATAATAATAATGAAAAAGCAGCCTGCTACTGTGCAAACTAGAATATCCTGATTTCTGGAAAGTATCTTCTGCTTGCCTCAGTCATACTTCTGGAGCACTGCAGAAAGGTGGGAATATCTCATTTGAGAACGTCTCCAACCACCAGACCCTCTTCCACTATTTTGAAGTCCATTTTATTTTCCCAATAGCTCATATTTTTTAGTCATTTAGTTAACAAAAATTCCCACACATCCCATTCTGAAGAACAAATTTTCTTTCTGATGCCAGTCAAGGTAATCCTGGCATAATCAAAGGTACAGATTGGAAAAATTCAGTTAATTTTATTCATTTGAAGTTCCCCACAGGTATGTTTACACACATACTTACTAAAATAAGCTTATATATGTGTATAAACAGACACACATTTAAGTAATTAGGTTTCTTGCTTACTATATTCAGTCTCATAAGATTCATGGTTTTATATATATATATATATTTTGTATATATATATATACACACATACACTGGGACTGAATATGTTAAGTCAAGCAGTTAAATTCAGACAATAATAAACACAGGTCAGTTCAGTGATTTTCCTTCTGGGATCACATGGGCAAGTACAGCTACCTGCAATGCTAAGTTTCCAGAGGCTGGAAGTTGTGAAACTTTGCACTAACACATTAAACCAGTAACCTAAATTTCCTAAGCTGCGCCTTTAAATTCATGCAACACTGCATAGGTTTGCACACAGCTTGCTAGCCAGCAGTCTGATGCACTTCTCCTTTCATCTTCCAGACAAATTATGGTTTTAGTGAAGAACTTGGGTAAAATTAAAACATTTCCACATTTGCAAAAGGCTGTGGGTATGCAGCAGAAGCTGAGATTCCCTGATGCAGTGGATCTGTACAGAGTTATCTCCACAAGTATGACAGTAAGGAGTGTATTTATAACAGCAAGCAGACTGTGGCATCCAATCGCAATCAGGAGCTTTCTCTGTGCTACAGAACTGTACCTCTTGAAAATTATTAAGTATATTTATGCATTAAAAACCTAACATTACCAAGAGGTTTCAAACTGAGTAAAGACTGAGGAAATTATTTTATAGTGTAAACAAAATTTGTCACTTAAAAGAGCAAGACTTCATTTTTTAAGCAGGTTAAATAAGTAACTGGACATCAAGCTACTTATATTTTGAATTCCTATTGGAGAGATAATAAATAGTCAAGTTTAATTTGTTGAAATAATGGCCAGCATGGTAAAACAATGTTCACGTAAGTGAAAGAGATGCATATTAAAACTATGATTTTAACGATTCCCAACCACAAAAACTCCCAAAACAAACTGCTTAATAAGGGAACTGTTACAAGTTATGAAACTTGACAGAGGAGATTACGATAAAGCTCAGAGTAGTGTCCAAATCACTTTGATATTTCAGTATACTAAAAACTGTAGCTATTTTATCAGCACATAGTATTAAGATGATGCATTATGTTATTGGACCAATGTTTTACACAGTCTAACAAAAGGTAGAGACCTTATATATTTCGTTACAATTAAAATAAACACAATGTCTGAGGCTCAGGCCTCAATATTCAGTTAAGTTATACCGACATCAAAAAGCTGAACGTATTTCCCTTATCCTATCCTTAATCTTATATACCTCCAGAGACAAGGCTTGGACAATTTTGCACAATATTTTGAAATTACACTACCTGGCTAAACAAACTGTCCAAGAGTTCCTAATGGAAATGTCATCAGAAAAATAAGTCTAAAGCAAATTTTTTACTGAAACAGAAAAAAAGAAAAAGAAACTAAGAAGTGGTATAAGCCCTAATGAGCAGTACATTCTTTGAGGACCTCCAATATTACACTATACTGAAGTATATGAATGTTCTTCTCAGAATGTACAGAAAACCATTTCTCTTAAACCAAGACAGAGAATGAATTAAATAGGATTTTATGGGTCTCAAGTTTAGGAGGATTTCCCATCAAGTTCTGAAAAAAAAAAATTACTAAATACAGACACTAACCAGTTTGCAAATCAGGACATAAAATGTCTCAGATTATATAAAAGTATACTCCAACTTCTCCGCAACAGAAGTCAAAGCTAAGGCCTCACAATTCCAGTTATTAGAAACAGCACATCCTCTTGACTAGACCTCTTGAAGCCAACTATTCAGTGTTCTGAAGTAGGAATTTTACAAAAAGATGGTTGCAATGCAGTTCTTTGTAATATGTACCCGAGCAAAGACAGATTGCTTAAAAGTGTTAAGAGTTCTAACAGAAACTGTTAAAGAAAATGAAACATATGAACAAAATGCAACAAACTACACTGACTGAAGTCTCCTCAAGGTCCTCATACCTAGTAAAGTTCACTACACAAATTAAACATCATGAAGTACAAATTAACAAACCACATGATTAATAAAATCTGTTCACTTTATATTAAACATCTCTAATATGATTATAGAATGTTTACGTCCTCTGCTGCCCAGAGGAACTCTTCCCTTTGTATTACAGGCAAGGGTTCTCATCTCGAACGCTACTGTGCAAAATGCCCGCTTATTTCAACAGGTTCTGCAGCATCGCCGTAGCGTACGTAGGACGAGCTTGTCTGCTTGCAATTGCATTTTGGAGATACTGGATACCTCCACAGCGCTCCCAAATTTCTTCAAACTGTCTCGGCAAAATTTCAGCACCTCGCTTTCGGGTTAAGCCAGTCTCTTCAAGATTAAGCTCGCACATATCCATATCATCCTTACCTGAAATGGTAAAGGGAAAGATAAAACATTTTTACATCATTCAAAAGGCCCATAAATCAAATTAGATCTTTCTTAATTAGATTCCCTCTCTGAAGCTCTGGTTTGTTAAAAGACTTCAGAGTTTATGGGGAAATAAGTTGTCAGATAAGTATTTTTTGGTTTGGTTTTTTTGTTACACCACAAAGGTATCAGAATAAACTAGTATCAGATGTTGCAATTGACAAAGTTGTGCTTAAAAAGTGAGCAAAAAGGAACAAAGGAAAGAAGTGAAAAGATCAGCATCTTGATATATTCTCCTGAAATCAATTACAGGCGGACAACTGCATTTTTTTTACACATACTTTCAGTTTTAGGCCATTTCACAGTGAACTGCTGTTAGTATTTGTTTAAATGTAGCAAAGCAACTATGAACTACAGACTTTTGAACAACTAATCTGTCAGCCTCCCATGCAAAACAAACAGCATTTACCGAATGGGACCAACATAGGAAATCCAACAAAATGATGGGTGTAGCTCAAACACTAAATCATAATCTTATTTTTAATAGGTGATCCATTGAATGTGCTACTCATGACAGCAGTGCTACTTTTAGCTATGGGCTTTGACACTGAATAGTAACAGCTGGTGTAAGAAATTCTATTAAAAATAATTTGCAGGAAACAAACTTTTGTTGCTAGTAAGGTGTAACTCTGAAGAGAAACAAAATGGTTATGAACTTTTCTTTAGTCTACAAGTTAAATACAAAAACTCAAAACACAGAACCATAAACAGCATTTCTCCAGTGTTTCCCCCCCTTCCATTATCCTCCAGATAAGCTTGATATATTTTACCACCAGACAAATGTCTACTATCCATTGCAATATTTAGTTTTTATTTTAAACATTTAAGATTAAAAAGCTATTCTCCCATATTAGGCAGCATAAATAGGGTAAAAGCATC